CACTTTGAGGTACCTATCAATGCCGTATGCGAAGAAAATATAGGCATACGTTTATGTTTGACAATTTCCTTTGGCATCACCAGCAGTGGTAGATACTACAGATCAATTACATAAGACAAATAAAAGCCAGCCATTCACGAAAACCTCCCGGTATGATGGAATCTGGCATTTATCTCCACCACGACAACATACCTGTGTCCAAATCGACAGTGGTTTCTGAACTTCTTTCGTGAGAGCTGTTCGAATGATTTACTGGTGTTTGAACCGTATTCACCAGATTAAGTTTTATTTTTTCTAAACTGAAAAGAAAATCCTTCGCGGTCAGGGATTTTAGGGACGCAGATAAGATTCAAGAGGTAGCAAGGAATGGAATAAGGACGACCTTGGACAAAGAAACTCCGGTTCGTGCTTTCAAACCCAGGGTGCATCACGTGAAAAAAATAAAGTAGACATTAATGGACTTATGTCGAATATGTAATATAATAACGTTTATTTTGAAATATCAAACTAGTTCTCATAACTCTATAATACTTGTGAGCGGTTTAACACAGGGAACCTATTAAGGAGACGCACCTCGTGTGACTTCTTATAACTACCGATGATAACTCCGGCAGAGGACAATTACATGTATTGCTATTGCTACTGCTGCTGCTACTTTCTTCTCCTCCTCCTCCTCCTTATACTACTACTACGTAGTAGTAGTAGTAGTAGTAGTAGTAGTAGTATCATCATCATCATACATGCAAGCGCTATCATCGGAGCATGAGTGTGTGTTATGACGTAAATGCAATAACTCAACAACCCTTTGCTGTGTCAGTTCAGATTTTCAGATCGGTTGGACATCCTCTTCATAGCTCTTGGTTCAGTATGCTCAGTGATAGTTGGTCTTGGGCTTCCGATCATTCTTCTTGCGCTTGGTGATGCCCTGGAGCTCTTCGTCGCTGGAAAGCGTCTGGGTCGGCTACTTGATAGTGTGCCGGACTTTCTGAAATTGTCGAACCTGACGAAATCCGAGGTGATAGCAGACTTTCCCATTTTCAGGTAACAGCATATTTATGTACAAAATATGAGCCTCCCTTTAAATACACATGTATGTAAGTTGCACTCTTGAACTGAGTTAGGAGGTGTGCTGGTTTTGGTATAGATTGTTTCAAATATCAGAAGAACGTGTTTACGGAAACTTCAGTTAAGGCTGTTTACATATTTGAACAAAGTAAGTCTTTCGAAGCAAACGCTCATTTAGATCGTCAAAAGATTTTATGTTACGAGATAGATCACTCCTGTACTTGGGAAATTTATTTTAAATATCCCCAAAAGCCCTGTTAGAGACATTTACATTAAAAAGTGTAGCGTACCAGTTTACGAAAATAGTTTTTCTTGTATAAAGAGTGAGAAGAGTGATTGTTCTAAGAGGTTCTATCAGGGGTTCGAAAGAAAGCATTTGAATTCGCCGATGGCTTTATTTTGACCACTACGCGAAGGTAGTTGAGACTTTATCATTTTTACATAATTTTTTTTATTGTCTGTTTTTTTTCCATCTGTTTTTAGATCTTCAGAATAAATGATTTTCAAAACGTAAGAGGCGAAAACGTAAATAATGTTTGAATTGTGGTAAGATAGATCCTCTCGGCCGAGAAGTTTCGAAATCAACAGTATAAATCAAAACAGAAAAAAAAGATTTGATTCCACTTTGCTGAAGATGGAAGTAAAACGAAATAAAAAGTATTTCCAAAGATGTATGACTTTCGGTTTAATTAGATGCTTGAACCGGGCAAGCACCCCAATGGTACAAGAAGCAGACAAGTTTATTTGCTGGAAAAAAATATTTCACGCATGCAAGAACAAGTTGATGTTTATGTCAATTAAAGAACATGGTTTTTTTTTTTGTTGTAGTGAAAGTTTGAAAAGTCATCTAAGGCGTCATTTTCCTCGTATGTTTCTTTCTTTCACAGCTCTACACTGAAGGATGGTGCTACGTACTATTTCTTAAAAATCCGTTAATTTCTTTCTCCAACGTGAGCAAATCAGCCACATCAGCAAGTGAGAAGGTGTAAAAAATTGTACCAGACGCTACGTTAAGTCTAATCTGTAGTTCTTAAAGTGAAGGCCTGGATAGTATACTCTTGGAAAAGATCGAACGATGGCAGAAAAAATGCCGAATAGAAAGAAAAATAAGCCTCACAGCAAGGTCTTTTTTTTTTCCTCTTGAGATCCGATTTTTAAATAATAAAACAATACTGCAATTCACTCTTGTTGCCCCTATATTTTAGAGAACTATACAAACGAAAATATGTGGGCTCTCATGACCTACAGGTTATGGTGTTCACCTCTCATTCAAAGGTCCCGGGTTCAAATCCGGGTAGCGACGGAAACATGTTCTTCTTTAAAATTGTCTCCTTCCCCCTCCTTCCTGCTCTGTGGCAATGTTCTCACCTCCTTTGCCCCCTCCTCTGGGCTCCTGACTCTTTCTGCAGCCTTTCTACTCTACTCCTTGGCCCCTTCTTAATGCCGTTTTTCAGCCACACCCCTGATCTTCTGGTAGGAAAGATCTACACTTACCCTTCTAGGACAAGGGCGAAAAATCTCGGAGGTCCCGAGTGCAAGTTGCGCACGTTAAAGATCCCTTGGTGGTCCAAAATCGATAAGAGTAGGATTCGGCCGCCACCCAGGCAAAATTCAAAACTGCCTACCAACTGAAAATGCTTAATGTGTCCCGGGCGCTCATATGACCTTATGCAGTTGCGAGCGCCGTAAAAGTCTTGCCAAAAAATCGATATATACATATATAATAATTTAGCAATGACCACGAAAAACCTTTTTTTTTGTAGAAAGTGTTTGCAAATATGTGCATTTTGTAGCTCTATCTCCACAGAGAATGGAACTTTTTGAATTTTTGAAATCCATCAATCAACAAAAAAGTTACGAATTTTTTAATCAATAATTTTTGGTTCACCTTTACATATATGAAAAAAAACCAAAATATGGGACGTTCTTTGGTGAGTTGTGAGACAATATTCGTCATAACTCGCTCATTTCTCGGACTGTTTAAATGAAACTTGGCAACCCAGTACATTTTCTAGTGCAAAATCTAGTCCTGCTTTCAGATTTTTCATAGCTATCCTACTTTTTGAGTTATGAAGACGTTTATAGGACCGCTAAACACAGAAGCATGAAATTTTAAGGGAATAAAGAAAAATGGTGTACAACGTATCAGCTCCGAAAAACCTCCAAAGCGCACCACATCAACCACTTTCGCAAACGTTTTCGACTGCTTCTAGGATGGGCACAATGTTGTCAAACTGAATACTACGAGATTGACCTCTTTTCTGATTGGCTGCCAAGTTTCTTTCATATCCAT